GGAGGCCATGGGTTGAGGCCTCGCTGGCCTCCTGGGCCAGCAGTCTGTGTGGTGGCACGGGGCCCCACGAGGAGAGGGGCTCGGCGTGGGTTAAGGCTCTGCTGATGGTATCTCGGTGCAGGTGAATGTGGGCCGAGGAGAGAGGCAGAGTGCCTGTCCCGGGGTCCTCACTGCCTCATTATCTATCGTTCATAAAGCCCATGAGCACAGAACTCCATTTAAAAGATGTAAATGATATAAAGCAGAAAGTGGACAGTGAACAGTGAAATCACTGTCACCTACATGGTCTTTGATTAATTTTTTTCAGCTGGAGAAACAAATTTCCATTTATATTAAAGTCTGGCTGCCCTGACCCATGTGGTTCTCTGCTGGCTGGGCATCATCCCTCAAAGCGAAAGACTGCTGGTTCGATTCCTGGTCAGGACACATGTCTGGGTTGTGTACAAGAGGCAACTGATGGATGTTTCTCTCCATGTCTTTCTCCTTCCCTATCCCTCTTCCAAAAAAGAAATAAATAAAATATTTTAAAAAAAGTTTGGCTGACAAACATCTTCTAAAACATGAGGAGAAGAAGGAAGAAGAAGAAGGAATAATAATAATAATCTCTAAGTCAGGACAAGCTGAGAACCATTGTGGGTCACACCCTCTGCCATCAGAGAGGACCAGTGAACTACTTCAAAACAGGCCAGGGAACCAGCAGAGAGATTTCCCTTAACATTTCTTGAACCTCTGTAACATCCTCAATCCTTGAATTTGTGGTATTTTACAGTAAAGCTCCTTAAGCCTTGAAAAAGGCCACATACATATCCAGGGGCAGTGAAATGGGGAGGTAGAAGCTGTCCAAACACAGAGGCATTCCTCTCCAAAGCTGTGTGCTGGCAAGGCACCCAAAGGAGAAAAAGGGTGCTTGGCTGGCCTGGGGGCTAGCCAGCAGGAGACCACATACCCCTGATTACTGACGGGAGATCTGTGTTTAGACACAATTGTACACCGGTTACCGCCTGGAAGGGCCCCTTCTCCCCATGAGCCCTTTTCCAAACTGTTCACTATTGTCACCAGACACTTCAGTGCTCCACGCCCTCTACAAGGTTGAACTTTCCAGGCTTAACTCAGGCATCTGTACATGAGGCGAGGAGTTACGGATCATTTCCTCGGTTTATAGGATGAGGAAATGGAGACTTAGCGAGGTTGCATAACTCTCTGTGGTCACATGGAAGGAAGGGGAGAGCTGGGACTCTTGGCAGGACTGCGTGGCCCAGGACTGGGCTCTTTGCCCTCCGCTGGCACAGGGTTTCCTTGCTGTCTTTGAGCTCCCGCCGGGGCTGCAGTGAGTGCCACACAGTATGCACTCAGCTGCTCTCCCCTGGAGTTAGTTCAATCTCCCCAGCACCTAGGTGCATGGAGGTCAGGGACCCAGACTTGACCCATTTCTCAGGACTAAAGAGTCAAGACTCCCAGCAGGCAAGCAGTGAATTTGTGTGTATTAATGCTCCCTGCCCCAACTCTGTCTGCTCTGCAGTATGCTGACTAGTCAGTATATACTTTGTGAAGCCAGGAACTCACAGGAGCCAGCCAGAGCAGAGACATGTACGAAGCAAAACCAGAGGTCCGACGGAAGTAGGTAACAAGGATTCTGATCTTGTTGATTCAGAATCCTTATATCTCTTCTCTGCACTTCTCTCCAAAGTCCCCCTCCTTAAAAGCAACCACCGAAACAACCCAATGAAAGAGCCAGACCTCCTCCTCCACCCATGCATATATGTTAATATGAATATTATACAAATAATAAATAATATTCTATATCAGATAACTATGGTATAGTATACATTGGATATACTGGGGTACTAACTCCCTTGGGGGTTAGTAATGGTGGTGGTAAATACGTACTCTGTGCCAAAAACCTGGCCACAGGAGCCGTCACACTGCTGTCTGTGAACGTATTTGTAGAGGAGACAACATGGGAGCTGCGTTATGTGGAGCTGACGTGGCTGCTGTAAATATGGGTCAGGGGAGCCATCCCACTGCTATCTGCAGAAATCACTCAGAGAGAAGAACTCCCACTCTCTGCCAGTTACTCAAGAACCATGATGCAGAGTGGATGTGTCCTGGGCAAAAGGTCCCTCTGGGCAGTCTGCCTGGGAACACACCCAAGGGAGGACAGGCACAGCCACCCCATGTGGGCAGCGCTCGTCATCAGCAGGTGGCTCAGCCACTTGGCGGAGGGTCGGTGTGTCCTCCCTCGCACAGGCTCACACGGGCTGCGGAGTCTCCCACGTACCCCTCATTGCCGCATTGTGTGCGAAATCTTTTCCATGTTAACCCCGACCAAAACCCCAGGAAATTAAATCAGTTAAAAAGACCATACGATGAATTCCACAGCCAGGCAGAAATGATCTGTGGGTAACCACTTCTGGTGTCTGAAACACTGCCTTTGGTCCCCCTTGAGGGCCGGGTGTGCCTACTGTTATTTCAGCTTGGAGTTGAAAAGGCGCCTGTGAGTCTTCCGATATGATAGTTTTCTAGATTTTGGTGGGAGGGCACTTTCTTCAAAGGAAATCCTACCTGGAAGCCAAGCCATACATAACTCGGATTAACTCTGAGCTATTGGTGTGGGGGACCCAGGGCCTGGCCTGTGAGGCTTCCTCCTGCCTCAGAAGCTCCTAGCAGCACAATTTGAAAAACATGCAGCCATTTCCCCCACATTAAGCTTTTCACTCTCTAACACAACCTTTCTCAAGCACCCACTATGTTCCAGGTGCTGGTGAGCCAGCAGGAAACAGGATGAGGGAAGCCCTGCTCTCCAGAAGCTCACAGCGGGGGTCCGATGGGGCAGACAAGTTCAGACAGAATTTCAGAAGGCAGTAAGTGCAGCGAGGGAATTAGACCTGGCCATGTGATGTGGCCAGGAGGCGGGTACTTGAGATTGGGGACCAGGAAAGGGTTCTCTGAGGAAGTGAAAAGTGAGCTGGGAGCAGCAGGACAACCTGGAAAGGTGCCTTGATTCTGAGCAGTGAGGAAGGACAACAGAAGAGGTGAAGTGACTTTCCTCAGGTCACACGGTGGGAGGAAGCTGAGCTGTGACCTGACCCCGGGTTTCCAGGCTTCCTGCCAGGGCTCTTTGCTTTCACAGTGTTTACCAAATAGCTACTACATTCAAGGAAGTCTCAGTGACAGGTGAGACCACATGCTGGTGTTCAGACTGTCTGTCATGACTCTTGACACCCTCCCTGCCCTCGTCAGCTCTTTACAGCCTGGGGGCTCTATAATCCAGAAGACAGCACCCTGCAGTCGACATCCCTGACCTGTGACCTGGTTGGGAAGGCTTCCTCCTCTCCTGTCTCCCTGGATGCAAACTGTGGAAAATGCTCCTTATTGCTTCCATTATTGGTATGATGATAAAAGCAAGACAGCAGGGGCAGCCTTGGTTGGGGGGGGGGGCGTCGAGAGGGGGGTGGCAAAGTATCCTGGAAGAAGGGTCCCTGGACCTCATGCTGCTCTAGGGCTCTGACTCAAAGACCATCCAGGCCACTTTTCCCCTTGTGCCCCAGAAGGCACTCACATGAAACTATGGCACCACACAGGGCTGCATGTGTATCACACATTCAGAGTCCAAAGTGCTTCCCAGGCAGATACTCCTATTATGTTGAATGTCATAAGGAGCAGCATGCAAGGGGCTCCCTCTGACCCACAAACCAAATAGTTTCAGACCCCCAAGTGTTCTCCACACCTCCCAGTTCGGCACCTGTGGGCCCAGCATTTGCCCTTTGCCCTCCAAGCCTTACAGCTATCAAAGCACCTTCCAGGCTTTAGCTAATTTGAGCCTCATGAGGAGGTCAGGACAGTGGTTATTAGTTTTGCACACAAAGCAGCTGAACCCCAGAGTGACCTGTGCAGAGACTACTGCTACTGACCAAGTAACAACCACTACATTTTGGTTCAAACCCAGGTCTCCAGACTCCAACTGCTATTCTTTCCACCATAATCCAGCTGCCCACAAGTTCGACACACACCGTCACACTCTGGCCAACACCACCCTCATTCGCTTTACCCTCTGCCCTAGACAATACTTAGGAGCTTTTCCAGAAGCTACCTCTTCTCTCCACGTGCCCCCGCCTCACCGTGTGTGCGGACACGCCAGGGAGCTGCGGCACGGGCTCCTGCACACCCAGCAGCTCAGACCCATGTTGAGATGCTCTCCCGCCGGGCCCAATAGAGCCTCCTCCCTTTTACATTTTCCAGCCTGTTTACACATGTGCACACTGGACACACCACTGGTGAAAACAATATATTCTAGAACCTTCCACACCTTCCTTCTTTTTATACCAAACCAATCGACTGCATGTGCAGGAATTGGCAGGCAAATACAGATGACAGAGCCTGCAGAACCCTGTTCCCCAAAATACACAGCTGTGCCCAGGGACTCCTGGACAACCCTGCAGAGGCAGCTGAGGCCTGTGCATACATGAGGCACACCAGCTGCCAGCATTTAGCAAACACTGTTTTGCATGGGGAACAGAGCCAAACATTGTATAGTTTCAGTTAGGATCACTCTGGATCTGTTACCTGGGGCTTAGCATAAGAGCCAGCCACGAGAACTCAGGGTGGACAAAGAGCATGACATTTGAAGAGGGATAGACGCTCCCAGAGCAAGCTGGACAGCACAAGGCACCGAGAGGCCCAGAGTTCTATCCCATGTCCCGCGGGCAGAAATCAGGAGCACAAGATGGACACAAATGCTGGGGACCCTGCACAGACAGACGCCCGCGCGCGCGCGCGCGCGCACATCCATCCTGACTGTCCCCAGGATTCCTGCCCCCATTCCTCATCTGAAGTCAGTTTGCTCCTGCCGTCGGGGCCCCGTGAGGTCCAGCTCCAGGGACCAGACAGGGCAAGTGGGGCGCCTTCTCCCCGCGACCTGCCGGCCTCGTCGGGACGCCCCACTCCCCGTGCGCCCGTCCCAGCTCCCGCGGGCACTCCCGGGCCCAGCGCACTTCACTTACCCGCGGAGAGCAGCGAGGCTCAATTCGAAGCCCAGGGAGCGGAGCCTAGAGGCGGAGCGGCGGCTCGTAGGGCCGCCCCTGCCCGCACGCCCCGCCGCGCTCCAGACCTCCTACCGCAGAGGGTCTGGGTGAGGGCAGCCGCTCCGCCCGGCCCGAGCCCGTGGGCACTTCCTGCCGGCCTGCGCCTCTGCCGCCCCGCCCGCTTCCCCGCGCGGCGCCCACCCTCCCCTTCGCGCCCCCTTTCGTTCCCAGGCTCATTCTCTCCCAGCCGGCCAGCGGGCCTCCCCAGAAGCCATGTGCGGACGCGTCTTTGTTTGGGAGTTGGCCTTTTTTCAATTCACAGCACACAGAGCGAATTAAGCCGGAGTTAGGGGCAGCTGCATGGTTGCCTGGGGGATTCTCGGTAGGAGGGGGTGGGATGGACTGGGGGTCGGGCGTGGCCTCCTCTCTTGCCCTAGGCTCTCTCAGATCTTGCTGCCCCCTGGGTCGGCCCCTGGTGGAGCAGGAAATGAGCTGGCTCCTAGGAGATGCCAGCCCCAGAGGGCTCCTGGGGATTCTAGGGACTAGCCTGTCAGATCCCAAAGAGCCTTCCTTCTTCTCTTTCTCCCCGCCACGACCAATCACTATCACTGCCCTGTCCCTCTGAGAGGCCTACTGACCATCAGCTTTACATTTCCTGGGCACAGGGAGAATCAAGATCTCTTCCCAGACTGGGGGAGAAGGAAGACTAGGCAGAGAGCCCATCTGTCTTCCCTGGCAGAGAGCAGGGCAAAGCTGCCTCCAACTGGCTCTCTCCTAACAGTGGGGCAGGCATGTGTTATTTCCCAAAGCAACAAAAGCCTGTGCTTATCCAACCGTGTTCTTTCAGAACTTCACTGCAGTGAGCAAGGTTACCCATTTACCAGGCTGTTGGGTCAGGGAAGCCACGGGAGGCAGGGACAGCTGACTGAGGCAAGGCACAGGGCACCAGCCTTCTAAATACCCGGGGCTGCTGAGAAAGGATTAGCAGAGGGGACATGAAGTGGGGGTCTTGAAAGGAAATGATGCAATAGTACCTGCCCGTGAGAGGAAGACCTGCAAAGGGGAGGGGTGAATATGGAAGGTACAGTAGATGGTTGTAGAAGGAGGGGTGGAGAGGGGGTCTCAAGAAAGAGGACCGTGGTGGTGGTGTGGGTATGGCAGTCGGAGGAGGCCCTGGAGAGATGTGAAGCTGAGAGAAGATGAGACGGAGGGAGAATGGAGACAAGGTAGAGAGGGCCGGGGTGAGGACAGAACCCAGGTCTAAGTGGGCAAGCAGCCAGCGAAAGAAAGAGACCATCCCAGAGGGTCAGCACAGTGCAGGGCGCCGGCACTCCAGAGAAGAGGGCCTGTTCAGTAGCAGCCCATGCTGCAGGGACGCCAAGAGGAACGGGCACAAGAAACCAAGGAGATCTTTGGGAGCTTTTGGGAGAATTATTTTGTGGTGGAGAGTAAAAGCCAGATTGCCCCTCCATGGGGACATCTGGACCAATTGGTTGAAGCGGGGATCCAAAGGTGCATCCCTTTGCTTTTACTCCAGAGGATCCTAAAGGCAATCCTAGCTCCAGAGCTTCCCAAGGGATCAGCTGAGGCTTCTGTGGAAATTGCATCTCAGTTCAAGTTCACCCTCTGCCTAATCCCATGTCCTTACTTTCATACAGGTGTTGTTCCCGAGTGCTTCCCAACAGGACTCCTACGTGCTCACGCATCTCCATTTCCATTTGCGTGCAGGGTCCGTTCCCCAGAAATCCAACCTGAGATATAGGGTCCTGAAAAAGGGAGAGTGAAAGAAAGAAAAGGTGGGATGGTTACTAGACTTATTGTGGTGATTGCTTTGTAAGGTATATAGATGCTGAATCACTATGTTGTACACCTAAACTAATGTAATATTGTATGTTGACTATAATTAAAATAATATTTAAAAGCAACATAAAGAAAAAAGAAAAGACCTGGTGGATGGTGATAAAGAAGAGGGCATGAACAGCCACAGGAGCTTTAGGGAGGAAAGACCAAGCGACGTGGCAGCAGGGAGACCAGAGCAAGCCCCGAGCACAGGCCTTCCCTCTGACCTTCCTGCAAGACTTCTAATGAAGCTGTTCTAAGAGACAGAGATCGTCAGGAAGAGAGAGGTGGTGTTAAAGGGAAAGACAGAAGTGGGAAAACGAGAGGAGAGTTCTTCTCAGTAGAAGATGATTGCAATGGTCCCTGGGAGAGGAAGCCCCGGAGGGTTTAAAAGGATAGTAGAGGAGGGAATGGGGGCAGGCCTTGGAGAGAGAACACTGCAGGCAAGGGAAGGATGAAGGCTGCAAGTTCACTGACGTTAGTAATATTAAACCAGGAATTGGACAGAGAGGGTTGGAGGCTGTTCTGGAGGGGCCTTTAAGCAATATGAAAGGGCAAGTGATACACAAACCCGTGGACCCGGCTACCCTGTCGCCAGCACTCTCCCTACTGACATGAAACATCTAGAGTAGTGAACTGGTAGGAATATGATATATAATTTAAAATTTCCCAGCAGCCACATTTAAAATGGTAAAAACAAAAAAGTGACAGTTGAAGTTAATTTTAATGATACAGTTTATTTAACACAATATATCTAAAACATTATTTCAACATGTATTAATATAAAAGTATTATTAATGAGGTATTTTACGTTTTCTTCCTCCCAAACTCTCCAACTCTGGTGTGCATTTTATACTCCCAGCACGTCTGAGCTCAGTCACTAACTTTTCATTGAAACACCTGATCTGCATTTAGATTTCATAACATGTATGGCTGAAAAAGTAGACTTACAAGCCTAAGTTCCTGCATACATACTAATACTTTCCAATAACCTAATCAAATGATCCTTTTTTAAATTTAAGTTTTATATTAATTAAAATTAATTGAAATAAGTTTATTCCTTCAGTCACACTTAGCACATCTCAAGTCCTCAGTAGTCACTTGTGGCTAGTGGCGACCGCATCAGACCACACAGGTCTGGAACATGAACTCCTAGACTTCCGGATTTGGGGCTTTGTTTTGTCCTCGCCTTCTGTGAAAAAACAGACCCTGGCCACCCACCAAGTGCAGCTTCAACTCATTTCACAAAACGCACTTGAAGAAGATGAGGGCGAAGGTTGAAAATCCATCTGTGGGAGGGAAGTGGGGTTTGGCTTGGACTAGATGAGCATGAAGAAAATGAGAGGCGAGTTGGAAGTGTTCCGTCCTGACCGTCGCTCTGTGTTCACGTGAACCATGCTGTGGTGTCTTTCCGAGCTGGGCCCTCCAGAGGTTGACCGGGTAATGCCCGAGCCAGCTCTTGTGGCCCATATCTCCCGCTTTAGCCGTCCCCTCGGGCTCTGAGCACGGACTGAATCACAGACACGTGCGTGTGGCTGCTAGGTCTGGGCCTCCTCTCCTGCATCTGTAAAATGGGGAAAGCCATCCCTTCTTTGGGGGATAAACAGGAGGGATCGGTGAAAAACCCATTATGAAGCTACAGTGAAGGAGGAGTGTTGGTTCCCAGTTTGGACCCCATGCTCCCTGCCCAGCCTGGGGCACGCTTGCTCCAGCTGGGTGCTGCCCGCTTCTGTCTTGGGTGCACACTCAGGCACTGTTCACCTGCCTCACACCTGCAGATCCACCAGGGGTGCTGGAGTGATGCAAGTTCTAGGGACTCCTGGAGAGATGTAAAGATAACAATGACACTTAGACTTTCCTCCTTTGCCCCGAAAGGTCCTACAGCTCTTACTTGGAGGTACAGGGCAGATCTGGTGGGACCTGAGAGCCTTGCTTCCCAGCAACAGTATCTACTGCCATTTCTAGAAACAGAGTCACACAAATGGATGGTCACACCCCCCCACCCCCACTGATGTATTGCTGGCATCCCCAGAGTACATGGCACATTAACTTAATATTCAGGTTGTGCCCTAAACTGTCACAGGTGGGGGAATGTAAAATTTGGGTTCCTCCATCACTTGAGTACAAGCCTGCCTTTCAAAACAGTGCCCACTCATGACTTAGGAGGGCTGCAAGGAAAGGACGGTTCCCTGGACAACCTCTGCGCCTGCCCCCCACACTCTCGCTTGGTTGAGCTGCCATCTTGAAGGGACTCTGACAACTCCTTGTACAGGCTCTGAGCCCTTCGAAAGAAAAACAGCTGTGTTCTTGGAGGTAGAAACACTCAGGCAGAAAGCACTCCCCCCACATACACGTCACCCAGCTGTCTGACTCAGCCTGTTTTCCCATCTTTGAAGCAGGGAGAAACTCATGAGATCTTTTTCTACCATCTTAGATGGTGGAAACTGGCCTTGATTCCTTCTTCCGTGTGAAAAATAGAGCTGAATCGGCTTTGGTCAGCACCTTCCCTCTTCCAGAAGGACTGGGGAATGACCAGCTGTTAAATATTGACCAGTTAATATTAGCTTGAATTCAACCTGCATTTAACTATGAACTTAATGACTGAGCTTACTCCTTTTTACAACTATACCTGGTACTTAATAGGGGGTGGCAAAAAATTATTGTAAAATGGAACCTCACAGTCGCAGTTATAATTCCCATGAAAGAGATGTTATACCAGAAGTAAGAGTTTTTCAGCTGTGAGGCATACATCAATACACCAAGAACATTAGCTGCACTAATTAGTGCTTGAAATAATTATTGATCTTCATTAACAGTGTCAAAAGCATTGCTCAGATGTTCAATTGCTCGTCATGCTCTCTTGGCATTCTACATAAAGGACTTTACAGCCTGGTTCTTTTCCAGGAGAACATTATTTAAGGCAAAACACAGAAAACATATTTAGGTTAAAGAAAACCCTAAGTACAGGCAGCTGAGCAAATATATAAATAGCATGCAAAATGACAAGTGTTTACAGCTGGAATTTTGGGCATGCATAGTACACACTGCTAATCTCTCCTCCTCTAAGAAGCTTTCGAGAGCCTGCTCTGCTTCTGCAGCTGTGGCACAGGCTGTGGGGTCCAAGGTCATGTGCCAGGGAGGAAGAGAAGCCTTTGCATAAATGTGATGAATTTCCTGGAGCATCTGTGTTATTTAAGATTTATATTTTGGGAATAAGGTTTTTAGTATTTTAAAAACTGTAATGTCTATATATCCCACTGTAGACTTTACCACCATAAAATGTTAAAGAAGTAAGAGCACCTGAAATCTTAGCTGTCAGAGATAATC